ACTTTTGGTTGAAAAGGGGTTGAGTGAACTAGTTGCACTCCAGTACGATAAATTACTCGAGCTATATATACTTGACGTTAAGAGATGTATGCCTGTAAAAGTTCGCTCTCACATTGACGAGCTTGGTCTGCGCACATTAGCCGAAGTCGGTTGTGCCGCCGGTCATCTCGCTCTCACTAATCCTAACTTTTCTTGGAGATCTAATGAGTCTTCATTCCATTCTCACCAGCATTGTGGTAAGAGGATGGAGTATAGTACCAGGAGGACTGAACTGCCAGATACCCCCAGGACTGTCCATACAAAGTCTTCAGAAACAGATGGTGATGAGTAGGGAATCTGCTTCTCGTGGTGAGAATTTTTCCTTTTGCCGTTATTGCAAGAAACATGGTCATATAGATGACCGTTTTAGATTGGCAAATAAGCATTTTGACAATAACAAACGTATTTTTCATGCCATTGCTAATATGACGACAAAGGTTACATGTAAATATTCTCGTGATAAACTTAGCCTTTCCCCTTTTTCCATGGCTGAATGTGTGACACCTTCATTCAGACCATTTTGTTCTACAGGATTTCTTAGTGCCGATGAATCGTGCAAGTCGTCTTCCCCAATCAATATCCTACGGGACTCGGCTGCAGATATGTCATTGGTGCTCAAGGAGGCTGTTCCTAACCCTGACTGTTTTACTGGAGAGATGGTAATTATTAATAGACTGATAGAGTCCAAGAGCATACCTATATGGAGAGTCTATCTTGAATCCGAATTCCTAACTGGTTATGTAAGGTTAGGTGTTGATAATATATCAAGTGTTGGTATTTCACTCCATATGGGTAATGATAACGTCGGGGAGCCAAGGATTAACACCTCGCTCCGAGGAGCAGCCGCACTCCAATATTACCATTCATTAAAGGAGTCGACACATCTTGGTTTTCTACCTGAAACCCTAAGCTTGCCATCTACTATACCCTTGTAGAGCCCAACATTCGGGCGCTTACAATACACACACACACATTATATATATATATATATATATATATATATATATATATATAATATATATATATATATATATATATATATATATATATATATATATATATATATATATATATATATATATATATATATATATATAATATTATATATACATATATATACATATATATACATATATATATATATATATATATACATATATTATATATATATTATATATATATATATATATATATATATATATATATATATATGAAAGGGTAAGGAATGCAAGAGAAGGACACTGTCATAAACAAGGTCAAATGGCAGTTATCCTACGTGAGCGAAGCGACTGCTAGGAGTGAATGAGTGTGTGAGTCGAAGTGTGAACGAAGCCCCGTGAAGCAGTGGCGTATGAGAGGATGTGTGCATTCGAATGAAATAAATGTTGAGTGAGTAAATGAACGTAGAATGTGTTAGGCATATTTTCTTATTTGTACAATATAGGTTTTCTACGTAAACCTTGTAATTATTCATAATTAAACAAGTGACCTAATAAAAGTGACCAATATTTATTACGTGACCAAAGAAAATTGAAGAAGTACATAAATAGAAGATAAAGGAAAATGTGACCAAAATAAATAGACCTATTGTGATATACAAACAAATAATAAAAGAAAATGAGATGAAACCACAAATGAAAACAAAACAATGAACGTCCAGGGGAATCCCCTAGTGTGACGTCCCATTCACAATTTCACATTCAGAATGCTGCCCAGACGAGACACACCCACCAGAGGGGCAATCATCATTAACCTTTACAAATCCTCGGGTCCTCCTGCGTGAGGCATGAGACATGAGGCGCAAGGCGTGAGGAGTAAGAAGAGGCCAGAGAAAAGAAAAGTAGATGAAGTGAAGAAAGTGAGACATATCAGTACACGGACGTTACGTGAGAGATCTTGTGTCGCAATAATGAACATTTAGTTTACGAACATTGGTCACATAAGTAAAAAAAAAAAAAAAAAAAAAAAAAAAAACGGAAATAGGGGTAACATAATATTTAATTCTCTTTTATCTTTTTTTTTTTTTTTTTTTTTTTTTTGCTGAATTACATTTATGTATTTATATATACTTATTTTATTTTTCATAATTCCTATTAGTATTTTGTTTAATGTGTGAATTTTCATAATAAATCAGGATAGTAAAAGTTTTTTTTTTCCGATATCAAATCTGAGCAACAAAGCAGAGGTGATCCGCAAAAGGTTGTACTGGTGGACGGCCCAGGCCAGTAATTAAGATCTAACAAAGAGCCTTTACATATATATATATATTATATATATATATATATATATATATATATATATATATATATATATATATATATATATAATATATATATATATGTAATGCACACACAGATATCGCATTATGCATCATTCAATTGTAATTATAACGGGTTTGTGTTTATTACAACACATGAAAGGTGTCCTGCTCCGTACTTCGCACTCCTATCCTCGCTTATCTTTTGGAAATTAATACGTGCCGGGTTTCCCTTGCAGCAGTACTTCATATATATCAATGGCAAGTAAAGTAACGTTCTTTTATGAAAGAAAAAGAATGCTCTGCACATCATTTTTTGTAAGTAATTCTTTCTATTACCTTTTACATAATAGTTGCTTCTCGTTAAAGGAAAGCCTTCATTATTTTTGTCCCCCTTAGAATGCCCGTTCTCTGCGTAATCCCGCTGAACATAGAAAACGTGCAGTAATAGCAGTGCCGTAGTGGTGGCAAACTTAAGCTGGTTGGTACTTTGTAGGATTATGGCGATACATTAAGGTATTAGAGGGGGATTGAGAGAGAGAGAGAGAGAGAGAGAGAGAGAGAGAGAGAGAGAGAGAGAGAGAGAGAGAGAGAGAGAGTATTTTTTTAGGTCATGCTTAGAAAGTTTCGAATGTCCTCAAGGGTTTTTGGAGGGAGTTGGGCAGGGAGGTTTGGGAAATGAAGGATCTTTTATTAGGTGAAGAGTGGGTATGTATTTGAGGAGAAGAAAGTGTAGTTGTGAGTATGTGGTAGGTTAAGATAAGTTGGAACGTTTAGTTTGGTGCAGTGGGCAAGGTGTTGAAGAGTAGGCATAGGGGGAATTGTGGATATTGGAGTATCTGGATTTAGAATGGAAAAGGGATTTGATTGGGAAGTAGGGGTGGTGGGGGGAAGGTGAGTGGTAGGAGGAAGAGGTACTGTTGAGGATGTAGAGACAGTTTAGGTAAAGGGGAGAGGAGTAGAGTATTGGATATTATTGGAATAGGATCTGATCGAAAAACCTTGATGGTGTGCTTCTTGCCTGGCTTCTAGTAGAGTAAGACCGAGTTTATATGAGAGCTGCCACTTCTGATTCAAATTTGTAGGTTACTCCTTAAGATACATTTTGTGGACTACTACAATAGGCACAGAATACAGTCATGACCAGGTTGGGCACATAGAGGGCATCGAGCGACAGTGCTTTGCAGGGTGGACAAAACCAAAACAGTTCTGGCATTGACAGGGAGGAGGTCGATACGATCCGACTTGGTACGATTTTCCACCGATAGAGACCTTATAGGGAAGGTCATGTCTACGGAAGGTAATCTTGGCAATATTAGCTTGGAACATGCGGCGACCTCTAGGAGGAATAGTGTACCACTGCATAATAGTAAAGCAGTCAAGTAGGTGGTCTTCAGAGTGACCATTCCTTGTTATGGATCGGGTAATTAGTTGGGGAGAATGGAAACAGTTCCTGTGCAAGTATTAAGGGGGGGGGGGTTGTACAGGAATAGGTTTACCTATTCATGGCTCTCACACTCTAGAAATTGGACAGGTGAGGGGCTTGGAGAAGGTAAGGAAAAAGGAAAGAATGAAGAGAAAAGTCCATGCAAAATTAGTTGAGCCGAGGGCTTAGGTCCAAGGAAGGGGAGATTACCTACAATGGGCCTCAATCTCCGTCTCTTAAACCCCACCACGACAACAACGGGCAAGGAATTGTGGGGGGGGGGTTGTTTTTGGAAGCATTGCTGGAAGGCGTGTTGTCAGAGTAATGGGCTGTAGAGATCACAAAAAAATCAACCCATTTGGCTGGACTAAACAAGAGTACTCAGTTTGTAGTGGTGGGGGTAGTTGAAAAGACGGGGACTTTTAGAAGAGGGAGTGTTGAGTGAACTAATACTGCGGGTAGTAGGCACTGAGGAGGGAGGAGTAGTGTTCAGTCATGGCCAAAGGAGAGCCTAGGGTCATGGAACTGGGGGAATGAAAATCAGTGGGGCTAGTTAATAAAAGTGTAAGCCTCAATGCCTCTTATAAAGGTACAAAAATTTAGTTAATTGCTGTGGTAAGCTTGGAGTGTGTTAGGGAGAGAGATGGTCCACCCCTCAGGGTCCCATGATGGGTAATGACTAAGCACGGGAATACCGTGCCCATGGTTCTCCTAGGCCGATCACAACTGGCACAAGGTCAGTCTTTCAACACACGGCTCTCACACATTAGTGAGTGGATGGTAGGAGAGGTTGGGGAAGAGAAGGATAAGGAAAGGGGATGAAGAGAAGACTACAAAATTAGTGGAGTCAAGGGCTGAGGCCCAAGATATGGGGGTAATCCCTGGCCTTGCGCCCGTCTCCGTCTCCTAGCCCCCCCCCCCCCCCCCCACGACAACAACGGGCATGGGATCCGGTGGGAGGCTTACATATATGTTTTGTATTCTGAATACACACCTGTAATTTTAATGGGTATTTCAATAGGGGTAAATGCAAAGGTAGAAGCTGGAAAAATACATAAATTTATTCTAATTTGTAACAGAAGCGCATGATTTCATTCACTCGAGTAGACAGAAAAGTCACACGGTTATAATAAGCACCACGGCGATGAGGACGAGCAGGATGGGCGCCAGGTACTTGACTGCGCCGGAGCGACCGCTGAAGTGAGCGGAGACGACGTCGTCAGCGTCTGGGATGCTCGCGAAGATCCTGGCAGGGCCGCCGCTTCCCTCGCGAATCTTCATGGGCATCACCGTTACGTGGAATCCCTTGGCTGGAAGCCTCTGAAAGAACCAAAGATACAATGTGCTTTAGCAATACATAGGATGACAAGGACCGATTTCTGATACAACTATCAGTGATAATAAAAAGATAAATTTCTCACAGCGATGATAATGAAACAGGTACTGCCACGGTCAAAACTTTTGTCAAACATGTTTCGAATCCCGCTTCGAACATCTGCTTCATACCACATTTTTTTAAAGGGTGGGATGGATTCGAAGCTTCAATTCATTAAAAGACTTTTTTTTTTTTTTTTTTTTTTTTTTTTTTTTTTTTTTTTACTTCAGCACCAAACTGGAAACAAACCTCCAGGTTGGCCACATTCTCCAAGCCATAGATATTGTGTTCGAATAATTCCACATGCGTCGGGAAAGTCGTCGAGGCGCCGTTGTCGAGGGACGGAGTGTCGAGGCCGACCCCCACGACCCCCAGCCCTGAGTCGCCCTTGAGCGCAGTCAGGTACTTGGCTGCGTCGAGGCTGATTCCTGGAAGTTAAAAAAGGAATTAGTCTGGTTCAGAAAGCAGTTTTAATACTGGCAACATGATAATGGCATCAAGACATATAACGTGTACAGGTTATTTAGTATTTCATCATGATAAATAATTATGAAATAGAAGTACTGGTTTGATTTGTAGTATTTCCCGTTATTAATGTAAACACATAAGAGATTCTGGACATGAATACGAATACATATGTTTATAAAGATGAGAAATTATCATTATTTAATAATTCTGTACACATGAAAGCGAGAGAGACACATATGCGTGTAGATGTATATATGAATATATATGCACGTAAATGTATGATCTACATGCAAACACTAACAAACACATGCAAAATGAAACACTACTTTAACAAATACGAATGTGACATTTTGAACCCATCCATTTCGGTTTCATTTGAACACATTTTATTGATTATATTATATCTGCGTTTCATTGGATACGTGTCTATGCAAATGCAATCTGTAAAATGTAACTACAGCGAAAGATTCTGTAACCCCATCGTAACCTGTAGAAAATGTAGGAATGAGAATGAATATCTTCACAATACAAGAGATGTATTGAAAGGTTTCGGCAGAAATACATTCATGAATTTCTGACGAAGATATATTCAAAACCGGATAAATACATCTCTTGTACTGTGAAGATATTCATTCTTACCATACATTCTCTACATTTGTCAACGTGAATACAGTTCAACCTATCAGACCTTACCTGGAAATTTTAAATTGGAGCCGTCACTGTTATTGGACCCAAAGTACGCCAGTTTGTCCCCGTACCTGTGAAAATATAAATGTAAAATTCTCTTCCTAAACTCCTTAATTAACACTCACCAGCTGTTCGTCCTGTCTGACCCCCCCCCCTCCTAAAAAGAAAGAAAACGAAGGGGACCAACACTTCAAGAAAATGAACGCAGGAAATACGTGCGATTTTCTTTCAGTAAGAAACAGAAGAAAATGGAAGTCAGATTTGTCGCTAAGGTGGGAGGCGACTTTCCTTTTCATTACTTTAAAATATTAAAATCTGAATTGATAGGTCTTAACTTCCAATAGAATCGTATATCTCAGATGGGAAAATGTTTAAATATTTGCTGCCAATTATCACCTCTGTTCCTTCCTCTTCCCCCACCTCTTTTTCCACACCTGCTGACCCTTCTATCCTATCCTATCCTTTTCACCCCTGCTGGCCCTTCTATCCTATCCATTCCACACCTGACCCTTCTATCCTATCCTATTCTATCCTATCCTATCCTGCTGACCCTTCTATCCTATATCCTTTCCACACCTGCTGACCCTTCTAATCCTATCCTAACCTGCTTTCTATCCTATCCTTTGCCTGCTGACCCTTCTATGATGCTGACCTTCTATCCATCCTATCCTTCCCAAACCTGCTAACTCTTCTATCCTATCCTATCCTTTCCCCACCTGCTGACCCTTCCTATGCTGCGCCTGCTGACGCTTCTATCCCATCCTATCCTTTCCGCACCTGCTGACCCTTCTATCCCATCCTATCCTTTCCCACCTGCTGACCTTCTATCCCATCCTATCCTTTCCACACCTGCTGCTATCCTTTCCCCACCTGCTGACCCTTCTATCCATGCTGCTCCTGCTTCCTTTCCTTCCACCTGTTTATCCCATCCTATCCTTTCCGCACCTGCTGACCCTTCTATCCTATCCTATCCCCCCTTCTCCTTCCCCTTCCTCACCTGCTGTCCCTTCTCCTTCCTTTCCTCATCTGCTGCTCCTCCTTCCCCGTCCTCACCTGCTGCCCCTTAACCCTTTCCTTCCCTCCTCCCTGCTGTCCCTTCTGCTTCCCCTGCCTCACTCTGCTGTCCTTAACCCTTTCCTCCTCTGCTGTCCCTTCTCCTTCCCTTTCCTCACCTGCTGTCCCTTTAACCCTTTCCTCCTCTGCTGTCCTTCTCCTTCCCTTTCCTCACCTGCTGTCCCTTCTCCTTCCCTTTCCTCCTCTGCTGTCCCTTCTCCTTCCCTTTCCTCCTCTGCTGTCCCTTCTCCTTCCCTTTCCTCCCTGCTGTCCCTTCTCCTTCCCTTTCCTCACCTGCTGTCCCTTCTCCTTCCCTTTCCTCACCTGCTGTCCCTTCTCCTTCCCTTTCCTCACCTGCTGTCCCTTCTCCTTCCCTTTCCTCCTGCTGTCCCTTCTCTTCCCTTCCTCCTTCCCTCCTTCCTCACCTGCTGTCCCTTCTCCTTCCCTTCCTCCCTGCTGTCCCTTCTCCTTCCCTTTCCTCACCTGCTGTCCCTCCTCTCCTGCTGTCCCTTCTCCTTCCCTTTCCCTCACCTGCTGTCCTTCTCCTTCCCTTTCCTCACCTGCTGTCCCTTTCTCCTTCCCTTTCCTCCCCTGCTGTCCCTTCTCCTTCCCTTTCCTCACCTGCTGTCCCTTCTCCTTCCCTTTCCTCACCTGCTGTCCCTTCTCTCCTTCCTCCCTGTCCTTCCCTTTCCTCCTCTGCTGTCCCTTCTCCTTCCCTTTCCTCACCTGCTGTCCCTTCTCCTTCCCTTTCCTCCTGCTGTCCCTTCTCCTTCCCTTTCCTCACCTGCTGTCCCTTCTCCTCCCTTTCCTCCCTGCTGTCCCTTCTCTTCCCTTTCCTCCCCTGCTGTCCTTCTCCTTCCCTTCCTCACCTGCTGTCCTTCTCCTTCCCTCCTGCTGTCCCTTCTCTTCCCTTTCCTCACCTGCTGTCCTTCTTTCCCTTCCCTTCTGTCCTTCTCCTTCCCTTTCCTCACTGCTGTCCCTTCTCCTTCCCTTTCCTCCCTGCTGTCCCTTCTCCTTCCCTTTCCTCACCTGCTGTCCCTTCTGCTTCCCGTTCCTCACCTGCTGTCCCTTCTCCTTCCCGTTCCTCACCTGCTGTCCCTTAACCCTTTCCTCCTCTGCTGTCCCTTCTCCTTCCCTTTCCTCCTCTGCTGTCTCTTCTCCTTCCCGTTCCTCACCTGCTACCCCAGCCGGTCAGGACGAAGACCACCGCGCCATCTGGGAGAGGTCCGTTCGCCTCCGTCCAGCTGGTAATATCGTCCACGGCCAACTCAGCCAATGGATTCTTCTTCGCCTTCTCCTGGATGTCCAGCACAACACCTTTAAAAAGGAAGTTTCATCATTTGTTTTTTACTTTTGAAAGTACATGGTGTGTATGTTGTTTGTTACTGTTGTCGTTTTGGTTTGTTTACAAGTGGTTGATTATGTTTTAATTCCCGTCAGCACTCACCTGGGCCCATCAAACGCGACAGAGGAATGTCGTCGGCGTGCCACCTTTCCTTAAAAAAGTGTGCCGGTGCATCAAGGTGGGTTCCAGCGTGCTCGGCCAAACAAATGTTGTTCGACTCATACCTGAAACAAACCAATTTATAAAATATACGGAATACGGATTTCTGTCAGCATCCGCCTTTGTGGGGACCTGTCGCCCTCGAAGACAGACAAAGCGTACTATCCTTTCGTGTAAACGTGAGAGAAATTTGTCTCCCACGGCAGCAGGTCCCCAATCAGATGGATGATCATTGTAATTGACACCTATATTTAATTATATTAATTTTCTTTCACCTCGCAATTTCCCAACACCACCTTCTTGGGCAGTTTACAAAATGACCGCTTTGGCAATTGGGTAGAGATTACGGAGACGGACGCGCGTAGATAGAGAGAAATGGACACCGCCATGTTATACAGCGGAAAAATAGAGTGGGATGGAACAGTTTAAGTTACGCCGGACCTATATTTACCGTTAAATGGAAAAAACGGCGGCAGAGACTAAGTCGAAATCGACCTTCTGCGGCAGAGTCGTTTGTTTATGTCTGCATTTTCAATAAACTCGTTTTCTATACGTGTCTAGTTTTCTGTATTTCCATTTCCTATACCCGCGTTTTCTCTAAATGTCACGTTTTCTTTGCACTACTTTCAACCAACGTGGAAGCATTACCGATAACTAATATTTTAATCCATTATTTAATCCCATTTCTACGAACATTTCCTCTCTTCGTCTTATGCTTATACATTTTAAGTATTGTTCTTTGTAATGTATATATTTTATTATTTATAATTTCGTTATCATAACGTATATTTACTGTTAACAAACACGCGTTACTGCCTCTTTACCTTAATTGCCTCCCATGTCGGAAAAAACAATGTTCATTACTTGAACACTTTCCGGTAAGCTCTTGACGTGTAAGGACAACAATTTTTGTGTGCGGTGTGACATGTGGTAAGTTAAAGAAATTTGTTTCAATGATTGTTTTATATTTATAGGTGTTTTAAAGACAATTGAAAAAATAGTTTATCTTTTCATAGTGGATAAATAGTGTTATTCAAGGGTAATATGACAATGGTGGAGGAATAATGCCCTATCGGTAGCCCTTAAATGCCCCAAATGCAACGACGGCTGACGATTTTATAATATATATACATGTAGATGCGACAACCCCCCCCCCCAAAAAAAAAAAAAAAAAAATGATAATAGAAAAGT